CCCGCCCGAGGGTTCGGATCCCACATACAGACCGGTTCCCGCTCACTGGCTGAGTGAGGCACGGGAGCAACACCCAGGGTTGCAATCCCGTTGCCGGTCCCCGGTCCGGTACGGGGCCAACACTGAGGGTTGCGATCCGTTGCCGGACACGGAAAAAGACAAAAGACAAAAAAAAAAAAAAGGGTTAGTCAGATCCCCTGGGTGGCTGAGATTAGTTGAGGCATCGGCCCAAGAGAGAGAGGGGCCAGTGAACAACTGGCCCCACAGCCTTTAAAAAAGAAAGAAGATAACACTTCCATGAGAACCAAGGACATTTTATGGTTAAAACACATAGTCAAAAATGTGGGAGCAGCAGCTAAGCTGGAAGAAGCACCAGATGTCTTTGAGGGACAAGGAACCTTCTTTGCCTCCCCAACAGCAGCCAGACAAGGCCTCTTGGACAACATGGGAAGTGTGACACTCACACTTCCTTGATCAGGACCAAACGAAGTAGGAGCCCTCGTGCTCAGCTCACAAGCCCTGAAAGAACAAGAAAAGTACATCAGTTAGATGCAGAGCTTGCGAGCAGCCACAACCATGTACATCCCAAGGGCTCGTATTCTGGATCTTCTAAGCAGGCAGCATGAGGTTTTCTTACATCTCTAACTCAGACACTAAATCCTATATCCACTCTCCACCCCTATAAACCCCTACTCCAGGCAACAGCCCTGAACACATGACCAGGCACTCACCCAAGTAATCGTCCATCAGGGAGCCAATAGCAAACTGCAGGAGGGAAGGTAAAAAGGAAATGAAGCCAAGGCGAGCACAGAACCATCCTCTGCCCCCAGCCCCAGGCCTTCTGCCCACCCATCCCTCTTTCCTGGCAGAAGAGCACAGAACCCCCAGGACTGTGGGTGGTAAGAAATGCTCTCAGCTCCACCTGGTAGAGACTGGGCGGCAGGCAAGAGACTCACAATGTCATTCTTGTCCACACGGGTCCCCACAATCTTTAAGCGGATCTCATCATCCTGCTGAATCACAATGTCCTGAGTAGAGGAGGAAACAGTGTACTCAGACATCCTCAGGCCAATACTCTCCCCCAGAGTGGCTTATTCTCTCCTCCCTCTCGCTGACTTCTTCCCACCCACTCACCTCATCCATTGTCTTATAACATGGTGGGTTGGAGTTAGGATCAAACTCCATCTCTGATGGGATGGACTGAAAGGGAAGTGACACTGGGTCAGCAATTTAAATGGATGCTTCAACAGATGGTCATGAATGGGTCTCTTCTTTAGCCCCACCCAGCGTGCCGAGACTTACATGTCGAGAGATGAAGCAAGACATGGGCCCAATTTCTGTGAAGAGTCCAACCTAGAAGGAAAATGAGTGCTCTCACTTTTTTTGTCCCCCGAGTCTTTGCAGCTTCTCATCTTAATCTGATTCCTAATAATACTATTCGTGTTTTGAAACCAGACTAAATTGTAGCATTTGTTTTCATTTCTCACTCTTTTTTTAACCTTTCATTTTAAATTAAGTAAACAGTGTAAAGGGCTTAAGCCTGGGACTTGTTAGTCCAAGATCTGAACACGTGCTGGCCACATGCCCTTGGCCAGTACACTTATCTTCTCTAAGCTTCAGCTTCCATAAAATGGGATAGAAGCACCTACCTTATAGAGTCACTGAGGCTTTGGACATTGCCTATAACTCCTCAGTCAATGCAGCTTCTATCGTTATGACTGTTAATATTGACTCACATGGCCCCTGAGTGAAGCAGGGCAAGATTACCACATCATTTGACAGGTGAGGAGACTGAACCACAAAGAAACTAAGTGACTTGGCTGAAGGAACAGTTAGCAAGTGGAGTAGGGACCCAAACCAGATTTTCTGAAGGACCACCTCACTGCCTCCCCTACGTATGGTCTCACCTTGTTGACCTGAGTGACAACAGCATCCACGACTTCCCCTTTAAAGGGCCGGAAAACAATGGCCTTGTACTTAACCGGATAAAGGACAAAGCCTCGGCCTGGCTGAATCACACCAGCACCAATGTTGTCAATAGTGGTGACAGCAATTACAAAGCCATACCTGTGAGGATAAGAGAAAGGCACTGTATGTGGAAGAGCTCCTAAAGCCATCTGCGACAAGAGCCGCTGAGCCTGGGGGTGTGGGGGAAAGCAAAAGGGGAAGTAGATGGCATCTCTGCCCCCAGAGAGTTCAGTGACCATTAGAAAGACAAAACACAAATCAGTATCTATAAGGCCAAACTCTGAATGTGTAATTTCACATTGTCCAAGAAGTCTCCAATCCTTGAGCCAACAGACTTCAATCTTTGGGATGCCTCAAAATCATCTGGGGGTGGGGAAGAAGCTTATTAAAATGCAGATTCTCAGGCCTGTCCCCAGAGAGTCTTGATTCTGTAGAGAGGAAGGAGGCTCAGGAACGCAGGTTCAAGAACTGCCGCAGGTTATTCTGTCTGATGCTGGAGGCCCAAGGACTCCACTGCCCCGGCTGAGCACCAGCTCGTTCACATCACTCTGCAAGAGGTTCCTCTATGCAGAGCCCAGAGATGAGCAAGTCTCAGCCCTATTCCTTCCTCCCCCAACTAACAATCTGCTTTTTCCGGTCATTCATTCACGAAACATATCAAGGCCCATGATGTGCCAGGCCAGGTCCCTGGACGTGGGGGACAGAGAAAACCAGCAGAATCACAGAGGGAAAGCAGACAAAAGGAAAAATGATTGGACTGAGCTCCGTGAGGACTGGCCTCATTCTACCTTGTTCACTGCATGTTCCTAGGGCCCAACACAGGGCCTGCCACACAGCAGGAGCTTTAAAAATGTTTGTGGAGTAAACGAATGACCAGTATCAGCTGAGAGAAGGAAGTCTTGTTATTCAGCTTTGCAGACGGCGCCGGGGGAACCCACAGCAGGAAGCAACTGGCCGCCTGGGGCGCCTGGGGGTTGGAAGGCTACCCAGAGTTGCAGGCAAAGGGCACCATGGAAGTATCAACCAGGCGGCGCGGTGGGCGCGGCACTCACTTCCCCGTGCAGGTCCCCTCTACCTCGGTGAAGAGCTTCTGCTTCACCGTGTTGAGCAAGTTGGGACCGAAGTAGCGCGGGTGCAGCAGGATCTCGTGCTCCAGGGAGATCTGCGGGGAAAGTGGGATGGAGAGCAGGCCGGGCGCCCCGAGCACAAGGGGCGAGAAGCGGACCCTGGCCCCGGCGCCCGGGCTCGCTCTTCCTCTCGACCCAGCCCTTGCAGCCGCCCCGCGCCCTGCTCACGTGATAAAACATCGTCCCCAAGAAGGGCAGACTCCAGCGACCGGAACCGTGCCAGCCTCGGCCCCTTCTGTTCCACCGGAAACACACGCAGGCACGCTAACCCCGCTTCCGGGCCTGCCGGGGCGGATCCCCGCCCCCTATGCGGATCTGATTGGGCCTTGCTCTCATGGGCGGGGATTCATTAAGCCCCGCCCCTCTCCACCTCCCACTGGAGGTCGAGCCGTCAACCCCCTTAAATTAACAGCCCAAGGGCCGGCGGTGGCTCACTGGTTGAGCGTGGTGCTGACAACACCAAGTCAAGGGTTAAGATCCCCTTACCGGTCATCTTAAAAAAAAAAAATTAACAGCCTATAATAGGTGCTCAGTAAATACTTTTTTTTTTTTTTTGGTGACTGGCTGGTTTGGGGAATCTGAACCTTGACTTTGGTGTTATTAGTACCACACTCTAACCAAGTAATGTAACCGGCCAGCCCCCAATAAGTACTTCTAAAGGGATTTAATTAGTGAAAGATGACTTAAGAAAAGCTCTGTAACAGAGTGCACTCAGGGAGCAAGTACATAAAGACTGTATGTATTTCACGTAGTACACACAGTATGCATAGTAATTAGCTGTTCTTATCTCTTCAATCCATACAGTAACCCCACTTTGAGGCAGGCTTTTTTGTTATTTCCATTTACAGATGAGGTTGCAGGCTCAGAGGGTTGAGGTCGTTCAGGATCACTCAAGGCCAGGATTCAAATTCCGGATGTCCAACTCCAAGACTCTTGAATATTCAGGCATTCCAGACATTCATGCACTCAATCCTTCAAAAAACGTTTATTGAGCACCCAGTCCATGTTGGAAGTTAGGGGAGGAAGTAGCGAAAATCAGAGCCCAGAGGGCACAGCACCCTCGCAGTATGTGTAATATTTACACCAAACAGACACAATAGATGTAAATGACCTCAGAAGCAATGACAATGGTATTATTGGGCACTAGGTGCACACACACACATACACACACAGGAGTCCTCCAGAACTTAGGAGCCCTTGTCTCACTTTTGTCCCTTAATTAAACTCACCTCAATTAACGAGGGTGAGTGTGTGATCTGTCTCTTGCTGAGTCCCTGACTCATAAAAGGGCCATGCAGAGAGAGGCAGAAACACCAGGAGACACAGACAGGAGAAAGGCTCAGCAAGAGCGACTGGTTCTAGAGCCACGGCAGTACATGTGACCTTGAGCAAACTCACCGTTGCCAAAGTAAATCTGTATGTTTTAAGTAAAAGAGCCTGGCCGGGCCGGCCCGGTGGCGCACTGGATAGTGCGCCGCTTGGGAAGCGCGGCGGTGCCGCCCGAGGGTTCGGATCCCACATACAGACCGGTTCCCGCTCACTGGCTGAGCGAGGCGCGGGAGCAGCACTGAGGGTTGCGATCCCGATGCCGGTCCCCGGTTCGGTGAGGGGGCAACACTGAGGGTTGCGATCCATTGCCGGACACGGAAAAAGACAAAAAGACAAAAAAAAAAAAGAGCCTGGCCTATCCTCCTGCAAGAACAGAGACCTCTTGCTTCCTCAGAGCCGTCACACTGGAGAAGGCACAGCGGTTCCCACTGACCTGCCCATCTCTTAGAATGGTTGAGGCCACCAAGTCAGCTGCTCGGACTCCATGGAGATCTCCTCCGCCCATACCCTGGCAAGAAACAGATGTGTGGGCCTCAACAGCCCTGACTCTCTCCTCTCCTCTTTTCCAGGCCAGCCTCCCCTCAAGGCTCTGTGAGCTGCTCAAGCAAACTAAACGAACCCAAGGAGGGGGTTGTGGCAATCCCAATTTATAGCGAGTCCATCAAAAGTCCAGTAAAAGAACCTGTAGCTTGCAATTGGCATCAAAAGTGGGAAGTGGGAGGCAGTCTTGTGGGACTGAGCCCTCAACCTGCAGGCTCTGACATTATCTCCAAGTAGATAGTGTTGGAGCTGAATTAGAGGACCCCTAGCTGGTGTCCACTATAGAACTGCTGGCTTGTTTGCCAGTGCAGAGAAAAACCCCACACATCTGGTTACAGAAGTTTGGTCTGCCTGTGTTAATCATTGTGCTGTGAGAACAGAAGAAAGACTGTGTTTTTTCAACACTCATTCAGTGCTGTAAATATTAAATACAGTAATTGTGTGTATTTCAGTTGCTCTGATACCTCATCAGCCTTGGTATTGTCAGCTGTTTTTTTGTTTGTTTTGGGTTTTTTTTAGCTTTCTGAAACTACGTAGTAGTATTTTATTGTGCTTTTAATTTTCATTTTTCTAATAACTAATAATGACTATCTTTTCATGTGCTTATTTGCCGAGAGCGATCTTTTAAAACCCAAATCAAATCATGTCACTCACCTACTTAGAACCCAATGGCTTGCCTGGGAACCAGAATAAATCATCACCCTGGCTTACCAGCCAGGAATCAGATCATTTTCTGCCCCTCTACTTCCTGCTGTCTTCACTCCAGCCACATTGGCCTCTTTTCTCACCTGGGGTCTGTGCACTTGCTATTTCTTCTACCTAAAATCCTCTCAAATCTGATCTTTACCTGGTGGGCTCCTTCTCATTCTTCAGGTATCAGCTCAATATCACCTCCTCGGAAAGGCCTTCAATGACCACCCTGGCTGAAGTATCCACACATCAGTCACTTCTATCCTGTATTGCCTTGTTTTATTTTTTCTGCATAGCATGTAGCTCTCTTTGGAATTACTGTATCAATTTACTTACATGTATATTACCTATTTCTTTTTTTTTTTTTTTTTTAAAGATGACCGGTAAGGGGATCTTAACCCTTGACTTGGTGTTGTCAGCACCACGCTCACCCAGTGAGCAACCGGCCATCCCTATATGGGATCCGAACCTGTGGCCTTGGTGTTATCAGCACCACACTCTCCCGAGTGAGCCACGGGCCGGCCCTATATTACCTATTTCTCCTCAAGGAGGTTAGGTATTCCTGTCTGTTTGTTCTTCTATATCCCCAATGCCCAGGACAGTGCCTGACAAACAATAGGTGTTTGGTATCTACTTGCATGAGTGAATAAATCTTTAGTACCTAACATATTGCTCGGCAAATAATGGAGTTTAATGAATATGGGTTGATTGAACCTCATTCTCATAATGAACCTTCAAGCTCCCCAGGCCATGTATTAGCCCTGATAAACTCTCCCCAAGCCCTGATCTCTTTGCTTCTAGAGTTGTAGGATCAGAGACAAGCTAGAATAAAGAGAGAAAATAGCAATGGAGAGCAATCAACTGCACTGAGATTTAAAATGCAAAGAAAATTTATTGGAGGATTGTTTCAGTTATCTTCTGCTGCATAACAAACTACCCCAAAACATAGTGGCTTAAAACAAGCCCAATAAAGGCCAGCCCGTGGCTCCCTTGGGAGAGTGTGGTGCTGATAACACCAAGGCCAAAGGTTCGGATCCCATATAGGGATGGCCGGTTGCTCACTGGGTGAGCGTGGTGCTGACAACACCAAGTCAAGGGTTAAGATCCCCTTACCGGTCATCTTTAAAAAAAAAAAAAA